TAAATACAAATCTAAAAAAATTTTTTTGAACAAGTTGTCTTTTTAAAGTAGGAAAAAACCCATGTTGTGCTGCTGTCTGGTTTACAGTATTGCGGTATGAAAATTGTGGCTTCCCTACAGAATTCTTTAGATTTTTTTTTGTACAGTGCCCTGAGACAACAGTTGTTGTGACTTGGCACTATATAAATAATTTGAATTTAATTGTTTACCCGCAGGGCTTACTGGTACATTAAAACAGACTTGAGGGAGGGCCTCTTTTTTAAAGTTTGCCTGGGGCCCCAAAATGGCTAAGTCCGCCACTGGATATTGGCCTCCCTATATTCAACAATGCCTGTGTTTCTGCTCTTCGGCTGGTCAGCTCATCTTCGTTTTGTGCACGACACTGGTTAATTCAGTTTAAGGTGGTACATCGGGCCCATGTTTCAAGGGATAAACTGTCTTCTACGTACCCTACTGTCAGCCCACTGTGTATCAGATGTAATCTTGTGAAGGCCTCTCTTAATCAAATGTTCTTTTCATGCCCTAGTTTGAGTAATTCCTGGGAGGAAATATTTGGAATATTCTCTCATGAATTCAATACCAAACTAGAACCAAGCTCATTAGTAGCCCTTTTTGGGTTACTTGAGGACAAACCAAATTTAAGAAAAAAAAAACATGCTATAGCTTTTTTCTTACTTATGGCACGGCGTGCAAATCTTATTTAAATGGAAACATGCATCCCCTCCATCTCATTCACAGTGGTTTCAATCTGTAATGTCTTGTTTAAAACTTGAAAATTTTAGATATTCACTGATATTTAATAAAGTATGGGGTCCTTTTTTAAGAACATTCCCAGCTCTTTGATCATCCAAACCTGTATCAAGTATAATGCTGCATGTGATTGTACACAGTGCGGGTCCTTGGGGTGGTGAAGTGATGTCTTAGTACAGGCAGTGATGGGTGGGAAGTTGGGGAAGGGATTTACAGTATTTGTTTTATTCATGTTTCATTATTTTACTTGTTAATATATATTAATAATAATATATATAATATATATTAATATTGTTATATTACAAAAGGCTCTTTTTTAAAATATGTATTTTTTTCTATTTTTTCTTTTCAGTCTAAGCATGTCCTTGTTTGGAGCGACTCGTCACTCAACATATAACACATTGTTGGTGTGCTCTGTTTTTACATGTGAAACTCAGTAAAAATATTTTGAGTAAAAAAAAACTGATTTTTAGGTTCAGCTGAGGAAAAACAAATTGCAAACTTGCTAAATCCTCAAAAAGATTTTCTTTGTCTGACTTCCTCAAATAGAGGAAAATAGTCTGAGCTTCCAGTTGTTTATTTATGCATGAACTGTGAGTCGGGACAAACATTTACAGGGAAGAACAACTTTTCTAAGCTTGTGCTCTTCTTGCTTTGTGAATAATGGAGGATGCTCGTTGGAAGGTTTCACCAACTGAACCTGGTTCAGGACACACAGCCAGACCTGCTGCTCAATACGTCAGTGAGCCCTATGATGTTCACCTGAGACCAGTGATGAAGAGGWGAGTGTAACCAGAGAGCTCCTCAGCGTCACACAGCACTGATCGGGTGTCAGTGGACGACCAGAGCTGCTATTTTGAACCAAGATGGACGCATCAATATGAGAACATTTGTTCAGGTTTTTTTTTTGTAGGTTAAGTTAATTCTGTGTGTTTTTGGAGCAGATGTGAAGATGCAGACTGGGAGATAGATATAAAGAAACAGGGAGACCATAAGGAGGCAAAGACAGGAAAAGGGTTTATGAGAAAAATAAACCTGAGAAGGAGGGGCATGAAAGAAGAAGAAAGAAAAAGGCTGAAAACTAGTCCTCAACAATCTGATTTTCCTCTCTGGACTGACCTACTGGACCCTCAGACCTGCAGCCAGCCTGGGACTGAATGTAAGCTCCTTACTTTTTATTCAGCACTTTTAAAGCTTTCTTCTAAGCTACGCTGCTCAATGTGTTATTGTGTAAATGGCTCATGTTTCACATTAGTGATCCTGTTACTCTTTATTTTTTTATTTTATTTCATCTTCCCCTGTAAATACCTCTGCATATTTTGTGCTGATTTTTACCCACTCGAATGTCAAAATGTTCAGCTCAGTATTAACATTCTGGCTGAGACTTTTGGTTTTTGTACTTATACATGTCACAAAAAATATTTTTAGCCTATTACCAAAAAAGGTTCCCCATACAAACCAATTTTTAAAATATTTATTTGAAATGTAATTAAAAGATTTGCTATATTTTTTATATGTTTAGCTTTTATCTAGTGTTTTGCTACTTTTAGCAAGTTTTTTTTTTTCCATCATGGAGGCTTCAGAGGATTGACCACTGTGGTACAAGAGACACCATGTTGAAAGGAGTGGGCTGTACCATCATGGCTACATTTATGCACAGTAGTTTTTCATTGGTTAGCTTCTGACTATTAACATCATTCAACATGTGCTGGCAACATGTTTTTGTCTGATATAATATGCACTGACAAACATTTCTATCAAATTAAAATAATGGTTGTCAATAGTAAACTGAGTCTCAATGATGTACTGACCTAAATTTACCATGTCATGGTTACCACATTCAGCTTTTTAGCTTTTATCTTGTGTTTTGCAAGGATTTAGACACTTGTATTATTTTTGTATTGGCTAATGTATTACCTGTATGGTTTTACCACTTTTAGCTTTCAGCTAGCATTTGTTACTCAGCATTAAATTAGCATTTTGTCTTGTTCTACCCTTTAGCTAATGTTTTGCTATTTATAGCTAGAATTTGCTTTTTTCAATTAGCATTTTACTGTTAGCTAATGTCATATGACTTTTAGCTTTATGCTAGTGTTTTATTGCTTTTAGCCTATAGTTAATGTTTGTAATTTTTAGCCTTTTTTCTAAAATTTGCTACTTTTTGTTTTAAATAGCATTTTGTTGTTTGCTAATTTCATAAGCTTATCTTTGTTAGCTTTAGGCTACTTTTATTTCTTTCAGCCTTTAGCTTATATGTTGCTCCTTTTAGCCTTTAGATGATAGCTTTAACAACTCTTACAGCTTCTTCATGAAATTTCTTCAGTCACTCAGTACTTTTTGTAGAAAATACAGTATGATTCCCAACCAGGGGTACGTGTACCCCTTGGGGTCCGCGAGCATATAGGGGGTACGTAGAAAATTTACCAGGTATATAAAAATAATAAAATAAAAATAGGACTGGGATATGTAGGGTCCCGTGATTTCTGCAATGCGGAAAATGACACAAAATGGAATCCAGTGTAAAATGAGGGAATCTCACAGAATTTGCTTATTTTGGGCGAGTTTCTAATGTATTTTGGACGCTGCTGCTTCCTTCACCTGCCATTACCTGGTTTATTTATTTATTTACTTATTCACTTTCAAGGCAACATTTTTATCTTTATGTTTAATTTGAGTTGAAAGCAGTGTTGTATAAAGTACCTCAAAGTGATACTTGAGTAAAAGTACAAGTATCTTACCTAAATTTACTTTGGTAAAAGTTCAAGTCTCCTCTAAGAATATCACTTGAGTAAAAGTCTTAAAGTATCTAATATACACTCACCGACCACTTTATTAGGTACACCACGCTAGTAACAAGTTGGACCCCCTTTTGCCTTCAGAACTACCTCAATTCTTCGTGGCATAGATTCAACAAGGTGCTGGAAGCATTCCTCAGAGATTTTGGTCCATATTGACATGATGGCATC